AAATATCATCAATACTTTCATTACATATAAATAAATTAAACTTTGATACTATCTTTTTAGAAGATCTATTCTTTCTTAGTATAGGTGAATCATCTTGACTCATTATATTGAGTAGATCATTTATCTTAAATGTTGAGTATGAAAGTTTTTGTTTAATAATACATTCTTGGTTTTCATACTCAGTAAAATAATTTTGCTCATCAGATTTTGCAATATATCCTCTTCTATTTGTCAAAGCTAAAGCCAAATTTGTTAATAATGTTGCTTTTCCAGATTCTGAATCTCTATAAAATAAAAAGTTTTTGGGATGAAATTTTTTATCTAGAATAATCTTTATCTCTTTAATCTTTTCTTTTTCTAAATCTTGTTGAATCTTTTTCATACTCTCATAATTATAAGAATATCTAACTTTATCCTTATTATGTCTGAAAACTTCTAATAGAGATAATCCTTCTAACAACATGTTATTTCCTTTAATTATAGCTTTATGTTCTTCAATTTGAAGTTCTTTTAAATCATCTGATAAATTTTTTTCATCTCTTTTAATAAAATGATAATTTCCAAAATAAAATAGTCCAACAATCTTTTTTGATAAATTTCCTCTACCCCAAACTGCAACTTTACATAAACAAATCAATATGCATTCATTACAGATTTTTTCACATTTGAAAAAATCATATGTACAACTAGGATACATCTTATAACGATCTAATTTTTTAGTCATATATGCAAAATTATTATCTGAATTTCCTTTTAATTTATCAGGAAATGATATTGAATAATCATTAAATATTTCTTTTACACTTTTTATAGTTTGATATTTGTTTTTATTAAATTGCATATATATTTGCATATAGATTTTTCCACTTTCATTAGACTCATACTGCCAACTAATGAATGAAATTTTATCTTTTATTTTATCAAATACTACTTGACTCTTAGATAGAGATCTTTCACATATTATATTATTATTTTTACAATATTCACAAATTATATCATTATATTTATTCAGATTACAACAATTTGTATATTTTTTATTTTTACAACGCCAATGACAAGCATTACAAAGTTCATATAAAGGAACTCCAAATTTCTTATAATAATCTTTATGATCACTTTTATCTTTTTTTGATTCTGTTTTCTTACATTTGAATTTTTTATGACATTGATTACAATAGTAGAATATTGCTGCATTATAGATAAATTGATAAGTTTTTTTTTCTACTATTTAATTTTTTAATGAGACAAAATATAGACTATTTTATATTTTTTATTTATATTGATAATCTAAAATAATTATTATTAATTTTATTTATATATATACTTTAAAAAAATATATTATTCTACATTAGGTTAAATTAAATTTACTATATTTAAAATAATAAACTAACTCATTCTTAAAATATATAAAAGAAGTAAAAACAACATATAATTTTTTTTATAAAATTTAATATTATAAAAAAACCAAAGTTTTCTTATTGTTTTATAATGAATAATAATCAAAAAATTGATAAAAAAATTTTTATATCACTTATTTATCATGCATTTTACAAAAATTACTATCTTGTCATTCCTTATAATGAAAAAACTAAGAAAATAACAATTAAAAAAGATTTAACTGAAGAAAAAAGATCATTCAAGCTAGTATTAAAGACAACAATTGAACAGTATAAACAACAAGATAAACAACTTAAACAAGAAAAAATTTTTTAACAAAGTAATTAAAAAAAATCAAAATGTTTTAAATAAAATTAAAAAAAAATCAATTCTTCTCAATATAAAAATGATTTATTTGAATATTTAGATAATTTATTTTTTAAATTTGTTTTTATGCCTAATTAATAATATAAACAAAATATTAGTATTTTTTATTTATTATATTAATAACATATTATTTTTAATAAAAAATAAATAATTTTTTTTTCACAAATATTAATTTTGCTTAGTTGTTTTTTTTGATTGAACAATTTTGCTCAAGTATTTTCAATTGAGCAAATTTGCTTGGTTGTTTTTTCGATTAAGCAATTTTGCTTAGATAAAATAATCAAATTGTTTATAAATATAACATTTATAAACAATTTAAGTAAAATGTTTTCACTTGAAATTTATTATATTATTATTGAGAATTATTTATTTGAAAATTTTGAAGAAATTAAAAAAA